TTGAGTCAGGGAAGGGTAGTGAGGAGGGGGAGACAAGCTAGAGGGGGGGGGGGGCAGCAGCAGTAGTAGTTGTAGCAGCAGCAGCAGCAGCAGCAGCCCTAACAGCCAGGCAGGCAGGCAGGCAGTCAGCCAGCCGTCCTTCCCACTTCAGTCCATTAATCGATCCAAGCCAGTGGCTGTGGTTGTGTCTCGTGCAATGTCTATTTATGGATATATTCATTATATTAACTACATATATAATTGTCATTCTATATATTTATATATAATAACTAGTGGAATATATAGATGAAGTTTTATGAATTATATCTTCCATATATGAACTTTTTCTTATTGATTTATTGCTTTTACTCTCCATATTTGCATATTTCCAACAAGCTCCCTCTCTGCTTCCATGTGTCTGTCCTGTCCATACCTTGATTTGACCGCCGCGCCATTTGACAACTTGCCAATCTCTCTCTCTCTCTCTCTTTCTCTTTATTACCTTCCTGCCTTTTTCATTCTTTGTGTTTGTGTCTTTCATTATCATCGGTCAATTGAACATACTGCTGAATCCCATACTCTTCTCATCATCATCATTCCCCCCCCCCGCTTCTTCCCTCTTCCTTCAACCACCATCCCATCTACTCACATCCATCCATGTTTGGGCTTCTTCCTCAATTATGCAAATTAATATTTCAGTTGAAACAAGAAAATCTATTGTTTCGCACATTTTTTTCGTCTTCGTCTTAGTTCTGCTTCCTCCTTTCCATTTTAATGGACAAAGATTTCGTCCTTTATATAAGACAGAGAGAGAGATAGAAATGAAAAAACAAAACAGAAGTCAGACGTGTTCATTCATTACAGGCTCCCCCCCCCAAGCACCTGTCTGCTTTAACTCGTCGAATTGCTTTATGAGGCTACGACATAACCATCATATCTCATACTTTATCAGGAAATGTTATACAGAATGAAAGTTTTTCTTTATCACACAACCTGCTTTTCAACAGATGATTCATTCCTTCACATTCATCAAACATCCTATCCTCCGGGCACATCGATTGTCAATTGATTTGACAAATGTTTTCTTCCTTTTGGTCATTTCATACATACCCCCCCCTTCTTCTCCGTTCATCCCTCCGTTCTTCATCTCTCTATCTTCATTTTCATTCTCTCTCTCTATCTCTCTCTCTCTCTCCCTCTTTCATTCTCTCTGTTTCAAATATTTGTAAATAATCAAATTTTTCTGTTAATTAGCTTCAGCGTGAAATCTGAAGCTCACATTCAAAGCCATACATACACATCTTCCAGCTTCACATCCAAACATGTGCATGTCAAAGCATGTTGCTATCGGCTACTCGTCGGAAGAGAACGAGAGAAGGAGTGAGAGAAAGATAGGAGAAGAGACTTGAACCAGGAGTTGAAAGGGTAAAAGAGAGAGGAAAAGAGAGGTTCTTTTCTTATTATTTCCGTTTAGACATATTTCTGAAGGAATAAACAAGCTTCTCCGTTTCAGGCGTCTTACTCGCCCATCCATCTATCCATCCCCATGCTCACAAAAGGAGCTACACTCCGATTAGAGCATTCTTGCTTCTTTCAGCTTCTTCTTCTTTCTCTTCTTCTTCTCCTTCTTACTTCTCAGTCATCTTTTTCTCTCTTTTTTTTTCTGTTACGTTCATCTTCTTTTACTCTTCAAGTTGTCCTGTCCATTTTCATCATTTTTCATCTTTCTATTCTCCCCCCCCCATCTCCCTCTCTCTCTCTCATCTCCTTAGTTATTCAGGCAAAGTATCCTAATTCATTTCTTTTCTACAAGCAATTCAGTGAATTTACGTTTACAAATTTCCTTTTTTGCATACTAATCAAACTACATTTTCCTTCTCCCCCTCCCGCTTTCCCTCCCTCCTTCCCTCCTTCTCTCTCTCTATGTCTCTGTCTATCCCTTTCTACCCTTCTCACTCCCTCTCTATCCTCTCTTCCTTATTCATCACTCAATTACGTATCTCACTTCGTAACATCTTCATTATCAACTTCTTAGAAATTTCAAATTTCTTATTCAGCTTCTTCTCGCAATCACATCTCACCATCTTCTCAATCATCTTCGCATAAGTCGATGTGGTCGTTATCGAAGGTTTCGTCCTCTGCCTGGTACATGTCCTTCTTCCTCCTTTTTTTTCTTTTTCTTCTTGTGCGTGGCCCTTGGAATCTTCGTTTTGCATCGTCGTTGTCGTCGTCGTCTTCATCATCATCATCATCATCATCATCGTCGTCGTCGTCGTTGCCGTCCTGGACGTCGTCTTTCTTGTCGTCTTCGTCTTCTTCCTCAACTTTTTTCTTTTCCATCCTTTTACTATCTATTTATTCTACATTTTTTCCTGTTTCGTCTTCCGTTCAAGGCTTACAAATAGATATTTTTATTCAATGCTCACAGCTCCCAGTTGTGCCGTAGTTCAGGCTTAGTACGTGTCTTTGTTATATTCATATCGTGTGTTATGCCAACAAAAGCACAAAGTCTGATGGGAACTCTACTTTCTCATCGTCACGAGACCGACGCACACGCTCTGCCTTCCTTCGGACCACACTGCGTACAGATGCTTCCAGCTGTTGCTTCTGATTTTCGTTTTCTTCTTCCTTCTCCTTCATACCCCTTCTCGCCCTCCTGTTAGCTCTCTTTCGCATCTTTTTGTTGTTCGTCTGCTTTTGTCAACCAAAAATACAATAATCCCTCCACCCCATCATTTGGCTGTCAAGCTAAAGCTTCTTCTCTTTTGACTATCAAGTCGTCTGCTGTCTGCCGTTCAAATTTCTTTGGCCATGCGTGGCTATTGCTTAAAGTATTTTCCCGGCTCTCTTTCTGCTCATAGCTTCTCCATCTTCAAGTTTTCATCCCCTTCAGAACATTCCTAATATCCAATTGTCTACGTCATTTTATCTATCCCTCCCTCTCTTTCTTTCTCCTCTTCTTCTTCTCCCCCCCCCCTCTGCCCACCAACTAAGCTCACCATCGGTCTCTCTTTAAGCATTTCGACTCAATTTTTTATATATTTTTCCGAAAGCTAAAAATATTCAATTTTCATAAAAACTGACCGATTTCCATTAAAGGCATAACGATTTTTGATCGATTTCCGTGTGCCTCACAAATTGGCTCAGATTTTTTAGTCTTCATTCCGTCGTTGTCCGTCGTCGTGCCGTTGTCGTCCGGCATCTGTCGGCCTTTGCCCCGAGGGAGCCAGCCTCTCAATATTCCCTGTCATTTCGATATTCAGTGCATCCATAAAGTTTACACGAAAAAAAAAGAAGCCGAAGAAGAAGATGAAGAAGAAGAAGATGAAGAGAAAAAAAAAGGAAATTGTACTTCATTAATAGAATTTTCCAGTCTCATCTCATTAGCACTCACGTATTGGGGGTAGAGGAGGAAAGATAGCTGAATATCAAAGCTTCAGCCAAATTCATAATTATTTCTTGAAAAAAAAAAGTTTTTGAAAGCAATTTTTAGAACTTGACGACAATGCTTCTCACATTCTATTTTCTCTTGGCACTCGCCCCATTCCATTTAATCTTTTATTCGTATACTTTTTCATCAAAAGCTGAACGTTAATTAGTGTTTGGTTTTGGGTAGAAGGATAGTTCTATGTTGGATGACCAGAAGCCGTGACAGAAAAATGACAAAAGAAATTTGAAATGGAAACGAAGAGAGAGAGAATGAGAGAGAGAAAGCGAAGAAGGGAGGGAGGAAGGGAGATGAAGAGTATGAAGGCAAGTGTGAATTAGAATGAGGAAAAGAGGGAAATTAGAACATGCAAAATGAGAGAGAGGGAAAAAAAGAAAATGAAGAAGAGAGCAAAGAGATGAGAGAACGAGAAAATGGACAGACAACTAGAGGAGAATCGGAGCTGAAGCAGTAAACAGAAGTCTCGTCGTCGACGTATGGCGCCCAGAGAAGAGGCTCATGGCTCAGATGATGATGGCTGACTGCGCATATGACCAAATGAAGATGATTCTTATATAGAATAACTTATAATTCATTTGCATATCCCATATGAATGTGTATGTAGTTTGATACATTCGTATTCTCCCTCTCCCCCTCCCTCACCCCCGTATTTCATAAAAATCAATTGCATCTATTAGGGTTCCTTAATTGATATCTTTATTAGAACAACTGAAACATCAGGGCAAACTTTTTTTTTGTCTTCTTCTTCTTCTGTCTCCTCTTCTGACTCGTTAGCTTCACCACATACCCCTGCAGTGTCGTTCCTCCTAGTCAACTGACATGAAGAACAAGATAGATCCTGAAGCAGTTTTCTTCGTCGTCTCTCCTTCTTCTCCTTCTTCTCCTTCTTCTCCTCAATGATAGAAAAGTAAAAACGCTTTCTGTGCTGTGCAGATTATGAGATGAATTCATTTTGCTTGTTTTCATATCGATCATTTTGAAACATTTTCATTTCTATCTAAGCTTTTTTCCTCTTGCATCATTATGTGGCTGAAAATTAATCAAATCTTTTCTCATTTGGAATCTGGAGGTCGCTAAGGCTCATTTCCCTCCCTTTCCCTCTTCTCTCAATCTCTCTCTCTCTCCCTCCTCCACTCTCTTCCTACCTCTCTGTTTCATTTCTTTTCTCTTTCAAATTTTTTACTTTCAATTTCTTCTCTTAGTCGATATATCTTTTCATTGATTATTGCCATGCTACTGAACCCGAAGAGCTTACTCTCATCCACCTTCTCTACTTCCTATGTCACTGTCTCTCTATCTCCTACTCTCCTCCCTTCTTCCCTCCCTCCCTCCCTCCCTCCCTCCCTTCTTTTTCTTATTCTTTTATTTGTTAACCTTTATCTTCTTCACATGTTCATTTTTCTTTCTTTATTACAATATCCTCTATTATACGTCATTTTCATTTTCTATCGTCTTCTGTCGTCTTATTCTCATTTTTCCATTTTCATTTTTTTTTTCTTTTCAGAATTTTTTCTCAGCTGACCCATTTTCATCAGCTGTTTAAATATATACCAGCTGAGGGTTAAATCCAAAAATGGCTGATCTTGAAGCAGTATTAGCTGATGTCAGCTACCTTATGGCTATGGAGAAGAGTCGTAGTCAACCAGCGGCCCGAGCCAGCAAGAGGATAGTACTACCAGATCCTAGGCATGTTATTCATCCTTATATAGTATTAATCAAATAATATTTATGAAATATGAATGTGAATCATTTAAAATAATTAAGTTTAAGAGTAGAAGAAGCATAAGATTCACAGCTTAAATCTAAACAACTAACTCAATTATATTTTAAATTTATTTCTATGTTATGCACTATGCCATTGTTATTGGTTAATCTCGGAATAAGAAGGTTCAATTGAATGAGACCGCCAAATAGTACTTTGGAAGCAAACGATTGTTGATTCAACAACCTTCCCTTCTCCAACTCTTTGCCATTTTAGAAGTAAAACTGCTCAAGGCATAGAGAGAGATTGAGAGTGAAAGAGAGAGAGAGAGTGAGGGAGAGTCTGATCTACAATCAAGTACTCTATGTGAACATGATTTGAATACGTGTAGAGAACGGTAACGTCAAATTTGCACGTGAACGTGTATATGAATTCATTTTTGAAATGCAATACGTGTAGTGAGCGGTTGATTGTTCTCATTAGCTTCTCTCATTCATTACAAATCCATCCGCGCATATTATGTTTTTCTTCTTCTCATTCACTCATCTCATTGTCAGCCGGCGGCACATATCGCCATTGCCGCCATCACAATTCCTTCCAATTGACAAGTATATGAGGTGAATAGGAGAATGAAGTAGCGAACAGAACTCAAAAAACGTTTATTCATTCGGAAAAGATATTCATTGAGATGATGTAGTGAAAGTAACTATATTGTGACAAAATGTCATGTTTTCATCAACTTTCTTCATCTGCTTTTCTTTATGTTCATCGTGTTCCATTTTGACTTCCGTTTTGTCAATCAGCTTACAAGTATGTACATGGGTAGAAACTGAACAGAGAGAGAGCAACACTGAACCACTTTTTTCTGCCTCTTCCTCTACTTTTCCTTCTTTTTGCAGTTCATAGTGTTAAAGACGATTTCTCTTCTTCTTCTTCTTCCTTTTTCTTCTTCTTCTTTTTTTTGGCTGTAAAAGCGGAAGAAGAAATGATTATCGTCTTCTAAGCTCCTCTATCTCTCTCTAGCTTTTGCTGTTTGTAAAAGGATAAGAAGCAAAAGCTATTCAAAGGATAAGATGCTCAATTAAGCTTCAATTCTGACACAATGGATCTTAACAAGAAGTCCAGTCTTTAAAACTTTGCAATTATCGAATTTGAAAAGTTGAAAAAGGAACAGGGGGGGATGAGGGGGGGAGATAGACTGATATGGATATGTCTGATGGACACACTATCTACATATGTCTGTGGAAATGAGAGAGAGAGAGTGAGGGAGGGAAGGAGATGAAAGCATAGAGAAGGAGAAGAAGCTTGAAAGGAGATGTCACACTAATACAATTAAAATCCTTCCTCAATTGTTTTGTTTTTTTTCAGTGTTCGGAGTATAATGCAGAAATATCTGGAAAAAACTGGTGAAATCAAATTTGAGAAAATATTCAATCAACGTTTGGGTTTCTTATTACTAAAAGATTTTGCTGAAAATGTAACAGAGAATGCTTGTCCTCAGATTAAGTTTTATGAGGCTGTAAGTTTTTGAAAAAAAAATATTGTGTTAATTAAGATTATTCCATATATAGATTAAAGAATATGAAAAGATGGAAACGCCAGAAGAGCGATTGGCTAAAGCTCGCGAGATCTATGACCATCACATAATGGTGGAAATGCTGGCACACGCTCATGTATGTTTAGAAATAGACGGAATGAAAAAAGATATTGTGTGAATGTGTGTTTCAGAATTATTCCAAAGAATCATTACAGCATGTTCAATATCATTTGTTGAAGGGCAGTGTTCCAGCTGATTTGTTTCAGGTTTGTATTTGTCAGTTCATTCTCTCTCTCAATCTCTCTCTCTCTCTCTCTTTCACTCTCTTCTATAAGAGAAGAAGAGGAAGAAGCTTCTTCTCTCTCTCTCTCTTTCTCTCTCTCTTCAGCTTACAAAGACAATTACTGAGTTGTGTCCATTTCAGCGATATGTAGTTGAAATCTGCGACCAATTGAAAGGCGATATCTTCCAGAAATTTCTTGAGAGGTAACATAAATAATTTAAAAAAGGAAAATATCTAATGAATTTATATATTTACAGTGAAAAGTTCACAAGATTTTGTCAATGGAAAAATCTTGAATTAAACATGCAACTAACAATGAACGACTTCTCTGTACATAGAATTATCGGTCGAGGAGGCTTTGGTGAAGTTTACGGTTGTCGAAAAGCTGACACGGGCAAGATGTGAGTTGATATGACAATATGTGTCTTACTACATAGAAGTATATGAGATCTAATCTGAAATCTCTATAATGAATATGAGTTAAGCATGATGCTGCTTACAGGTATGCAATGAAGTGTTTGGATAAGAAGCGTATCAAGTTGAAACAAGGAGAGACATTAGCATTGAATGAAAGAATTATGTTAAGTCTGGTCTCGACTGGGGTATGTTATCTCATCTATCTTAGTCTCATCGTTTATACTCTCTTACTCTCTTTGCAGCAAGATTGTCCTTTTATCGTGTGTATGACCTATGCTTTCCAAACTCCTGATAAGCTGTGCTTCATCTTGGATTTGATGAATGGAGGAGATTTGCATTATCATCTTTCCCAACATGGTGTTTTTTCCGAACAAGAAATGTTATTTTATGCTTCTGAGGTACTTTTCATTTCCTTTTATGCACATTCAATGGATGCTTCGTTTGACATAACATTTCGTTTTCTGCAGGTCATCTTAGGACTTGAGCATATGCACAATCGATTTGTTGTTTATCGCGATCTTAAGCCAGCCAATATTCTGTTGGATGAAAATGGCCATGTAAGTCAAGCTTTATGTAGTTCTTTACCTCCTCCCCCCACTCCCCTCCCTTTACTACTTACGAAACTCTTTTTGCAATAACATATTTTCGATAGAGAGTACAGCACTTAACTTGAATATGAACAACATTAACTTTCACATTATCATCATCATCATGCATCCTTTCATTGTTCTTGTTTAGGTTCGTGTATCCGATCTTGGATTGGCTTGTGATTTCTCCAAGAAAAAGCCTCATGCTAGTGTGTACGTTACTTTTTCTCTCTTTTAGCTTTTCAACTACAACCTAGCTTCTTTCTTTGGACGCTTTTATAACTTGTTTATTCCAGAGGAACTCATGGTTATATGGCTCCTGAAGTTTTGGCCAAAGGGGTGGCTTATGATTCTTCAGCTGATTGGTTTTCACTCGGCTGTATGCTTTATAAATTGCTCAAAGTATGTTTTCCTATTTCAAGGATAAGCTCTTCACATATATTATACAGGGTCACTCGCCTTTCCGTCAACATAAGGGAAAAGACAAAAATGAAATTGATAAGTTGACTTTGACCCAGGATATTGAGCTGCCAAACGAAGGATTATCTCCGGAATGTCGAGACTTACTTGAAGGATTGTTGAAACGAGACGTTCCGGAACGTCTAGGCTGTCGAGGAAGAGGGTATCAAATTTTCTCAAGTATTTTTTTGAAAATATTTATTGTGCAGGCCTTCGGAAGTCAAAGAACATGCCTTTTTCAAAGACGTTGATTGGCAAACTGTCTATCTAAGACGTATGACACCTCCCCTTATTCCTCCTCGCGGAGAAGTAAATGCAGCCGATGCCTTTGATATCGGAAACTTCGATGATGATGAAGTCAAAGGAGTGAAGGTAGAGTTTGATTTCTTACGATAATGCTAATGAGCTACGTGACGTACGTGCGAATGCGATTTGACGTCACATCTGAACGGAAAATAATTTTCATTTCATTCATTTATATGACAAAGTGCGGTTGTTCATTTAAATCATTGTCACACTGACTCAGCTGTACTATATCATTTCAGTTATCGGAGGGAGACTCAGAACTATATAAGAACTTCAATATCACAATTTCGGAGCGATGGCAGAATGAGATAGCCGAAACAATATTCGAAGTGGTTAATCAAGACGCTGATAAGGCGGAAACGAAACGAAGGGCAAAACAGAAAACCAAGATGTCTATTGATGAGAAAGGTTGGTTGATTGAATATTGGGATATCAATGACTTGTTTCTTAGATTCTGACGTTATTGTTCATGGATATATAAAGAAACTTGGAGGACCTTTCACTTCAGCTTGGCAAACAAGATATGGAAAATTGTATCCTTCACGTTTAGAATTATACCCTGAATCCTTGAGTGGAAAGCCAGAGGCATAACACACTTCTTGGAATAGCTTAATATAGTATATATATTTGCAGTTAATATTCATGGATCAAATTGAGGATGTCTGTGTTGAGCTTCAGAGTGTTAAAGACCAGAATGCTATTGTAGTGAAATTACGTGATGGATTCAAGGAACCGCGGATTAGCCTAACAAATAACGTATGTTTTCATGTTCGATTTCATTGGTTTTATTTATATATTTCAGGATGATATATCGTTAAAGGAATGGCACACGTCTTTAAGAACCGCCCATCGTGTTAGTTGTGAATTGCTTCAACGGATGGGCAGAAAGGCTATAAAGATATACGGTGTAAACCACGATCCTATGCAATATGATGCGGAAAGACCAAACTCAGTTACAAGAGCATACATGAATCGGACGTCAAGTGTCGATTCTGGAGTTTAATTGCAAAAAAAGTCGTTGATGAACGGCCATCTTGTGAAGATGCCAGCTAGCGTTGTCGTTATTCTTGTTTGTAGATGTTAGCAGGTACAACTGCCGACACAACGATTTTACTCATGAAAGAGACAGAGAAGAAATTTACTTTCTTATAATTCATAGTTCTAACTCAGGCCCTGTTTATTATAATTCATACGATAGATGAGAGAGACAACTCATTACGTTGAAAGACTTGTTGTATATAAGAATGATTCTAAGATAACACAATACCTATCAAATGTGATACATTACTGTTGATTGTCCACAAATGTTTGTTTCTATGTTTTCCTCTCCCCCCCCCCCTGTAATATCTTTCACGAATTGTCGTCTCATGTAAGATTCTTATACCTAGATGGACTCAGAGGTATCAACACTTTCTTCCTCAAATTGGGTATATTGTTCATGTGGTTAGATGTATTTCCATATTTCTTTCTAAGTCACTCATTAAGTATATCACACAGCATAGTCTTAGTTTGGAAATATTGCATAACCAAATCACATATCTAAGTCTAGTGAACTACGCGTCTTTCAAGATGTCTACACAAGCGCATGTTAAACCTTTGTAAATTGTGATTAGATCTCGAATATTAAAAAATTTGGAATAAATCAATTTTTATTATTGGGATGTACATCAGAGAAACAACTTCGCAAATAAATAAATGGTACAGAACTTAGCTAAGCATCACCGATTTCAAACCAGGATTATGACGATTTCAATTGTTCAACTCTGCCTTCCAGGATTTTGATTCCGCTCATCACTTTCTCAATCTTTGTTGCTGCTTCACCCTGCAAATGGAGATTCAGAGGCATATGTTTGAGAAAATGTTTACTTGTAATCGTTCCATCATATCCTTATCGGCTTTCATGCTTCTTTCCATCTGCTCCCGAACTCCAGCCAGAAGAGTTAAGCGCTGAGAGAAGGAAGCAGCTAGAAATAGGATAGCTTACTGAGATTTCAAGCAAATATGAACGATACCTTGTTCATGCAACTTGGACAAAGCTTGAATCTTCTTCAAATTACTAGGTAAAGCAGAGCAGGCTACATCCCATTTGTTCATCAAATCCAATAATTCCCTAGCATTGGTTTCTGTTTCGGAATCAATCGACTTCTCTCTCTTCTCCTCAATCTTTATGGAAATGATTAAGATTACTGCAGGATGTGCATACCTGTTGTACTTTCGTCATTATCTGATTGACTCTTGTCTCTAAGCCTTCAACGATCGTTGGGTTTAATGATTCGGTTCGGAACCTGTCAAGTTATCCTTTACAAATCAATTCAAATTATCAAAACTTACTTCAAGTCTTCCAAAGCATCAACAAGGGGAGGCTTGGTTGAATCAAAAGATCCTACAAGAGCTTCTAGCCTTTTAACTCTCTTCTCCAAAGAAATAACCTGTGGTATATTGTGATAACAGCTCAGTTATAAGCAATAAGGTACCTTTGAATCACTGTTGGCTGATGAAGTTGCTTCTGCTTTCTTCGTTGATACTTCAGAAGAACGGGTAGGGGCTCCTGATTTCTTGAGAACACTGACAGTCTGACACAGGAATAAGTGTGATAAGAAACTTGGAACTTCAAATACCTTAAGCTCTTCCATCAGCTTACTGATAGCGGCGCGTCCTTGTTTTCCTTCTGGGGATTCGTCAGCCTACAAGTGAGGAAAACTTAAATTATAATTCAAGACAGAGTCTTACGTTCAATTTGTCATGAAGTTCATTGATTTCGCATGTTAATCTGTTGATTCTTTGAACATCAGTCTCAGGTTCTTCATATTCTGTAAGGATTGGACTACAGAAGGAGATTATGAAATGGACAATACCTTTTCCAGTAACTTCGAGCACATAAGAATTACTTCCATAACACTTCTTCTTCTTCTTGGCGATGGAATCGGAGAAGTCTTAATGAATCACTGCTAGGGGTTACTGTTCGAAACAACTAACCAACACCAGCAGAGTTGACATTACAATTTACATAACGTTTCCTAGCAGAGTCAATATCAAGGTAAACCTATTATTCAAATATAATAAATAATGATGAAGCTACATGTTGACTCACAAGCTCTACATCAGGATCATTAGATTCTTCTCTGGCAAATACGTTCTTCTCGCCTTCGCAAGCCCCCTCGCTTTCATACACATCTTCTTTCGGTCCGGATGCCATATTTCTTAAGTTTTACATGTAAATGTTGAGTTTAAAATCGAGTTCAATCATAAATATAAATATAAACTTTATTCAAAAGTGCTCACTTTATTGGAAAAATCAGCTGCGCGTGGAGGAGAATAATTTGGTCTCGAAGCGATGTTCAAATTTGACTGGAGCAGCAAAGCCAACTTTATTCAGTTGCAGCTTTTGCTCAGTGTTTCTATTAACTTGCAAAGTAGATGTTCAGAGATGATTCTCAAAATGAATCAGAGCCATTATGGAGTGCAAGTTATAAGAAAATATTAAAACGAGCGAGACGAAATGCTTGTCTGCTTTCATTGGTTGATTGGCATATTTGGCGAAGGTAGCTCACTGCGGATAGTGTGAGTAGTTGTTGTATATTATCCATGGAGTAATTTCCCATTTAGGAGTGCCTTCACGACTATATTGCAGAATATAATTTCTGTATGTGTTGAAGAAATGAAGACGTTCAGAACGGTTGCTCTCCAAGATACGCGAATATTTACAAGTAAGTACTAAGTCTACTCATCATCAACAGTTGCTCTATGATCGTTCCCAATCTTGATTTCTCTCTGCATGATTCGAGTTTCTTGATCTCCTAATATTTCCAAGAGAATGCCCACTTATTTGAAACAATCAATGTTTTCGGGATTTTCCGTAAAGAAAATATATCATCTCTCGAATATAGCCTTGACTATATAATCTATAACCGATTTATTGTTCTTGGTTGTCTCTCACTTCGCGTTCATCACCCCTTACTCTCCCTACCATACTTTGCATATCTTCTTGATAATCAAGATCCTGCTCTTTCTTCCAAATCTAGTGTCCTTGCAATATAGTCTTATCTTCAATAATAACCTGCCCTTCTTTGTCATAATTTTCTCATTTGGGTCATCAACGACCACCGGCACTATATAAAGAGGATCCATCAGGCCTCCCTTCATTTGCATGTATTCTAGATGACTGTCTTTATCGTAGCTTTTATTACGTTTCATTCATACCTCATGTTAGTTATATTATAAATTATCTTTCAGAATGGTTCAAACAGCAGCCTTCGCGGCTATCTGCCTCGGAACCGTCAGCATCATTGCATGCGTGATCAGTATCCCAGTTGTTTTCCAACAAATCAACGATATCAGCAATGAACTCAAAGTTGAAATCGATTCATGGAAGGCTGAATCCGATGGCTTGTGGAGAGACATGAACAAGTACGGACGTGTCCGCCGTCAAGCTTACGGATATGCTGCTCCTCCACCACGCTCTGGATTCCCAGGACCACAAGGAGGATTCGGAGACCAACCATACCCAGGAGGAGAATCCGGTGGAAGCCCACACCCATCCGGAGCTAACCTTCCAGGAACCATTGGAGTACCACCATCCATCAGCAACACCGCTTTCAATGACGGACCATCATGTAAGACTTTTTTCAACCTTCTTTTTCATTCAGTTTTATTCAGCCGGACCAAGCGGAAACTGCAACTGCAAGGCTGATAACACTTGCCCAGCTGGACCCCCAGGACCAAAGGGAGAACAAGGACACGATGGACCAGACGGAATCCCAGGAATCCCAGGTCAAGATGGACAAGACTCTGAAGATGCTCAAGCTCAAACTCAACAATACGCTGGATGCTTCAACTGCCCACAAGGACCAGCTGGACCAGCTGGTAAGACTTGAGAAAAATTTAAGAGTTAGTTAATTGTTTTTTTTTCAGGACCAGCCGGAAAGCCAGGACCACGCGGTATGCGCGGAGCTCGTGGACAAGCTGCTATGCCAGGAAGAGACGGACAACCTGGATTCCCAGGAACCATCGGAGGACTCGGAGCCCCAGGACCAATCGGAGAGGAAGGACCACAAGGAGAGCCAGGAGAGGATGTTGAACACCAAATCGGATTACCAGGAGCTAAGGGAACTCCAGGACTTCCAGGAGACAAGGGAGACGAAGGACCACAGGTAAATATTTTCAACCAGACGTAACAGTTATCATGATTATTCAGGGAGATACTGGAGCCCCAGGACAAGCTGGACCACCAGGAGAACGTGGACCACAAGGATCCAAGGGAGATGATGGAGCTTCCGGAGCTTCTGGAGAACCAGGAGAGGAAGGAGAGCCAGGAAAGGATGCCGAGTACTGCCCATGCCCACAACGTAACGCTAACGCTAACGTTCAAAGCGCTGGATACCGTCGTCATTAGACGGTTTGTTCAAGGCCGGAAAATCGTTTGCCCGTGCAATAAATATTTATTATTTATGTATTGTTTGATGGTAAATAGAAATGGGAATGAAAAGGAATGTGTAGAAGAAAGAAAAAAAGTGAAATGAATGCAACCGCTCTGTACGTCTCATGCGGAAAAATAAAATCCAAACTGGCTCCTCAACCATTCCGATTTGGTTGCGAACAGCAGCAGTAGCCATTCCTAAGTTAGCCAATGCCAAGCTTCAAGTCACGATTTGTTGTAAAAGCACTTTAAATTCAGAGCTTAAAGTTAAGAAATCGAATCCAGCGCATATTTTATGTCAATCTGCAGCTTTAGCCGCAGGGCATTGGATGAAATATGCACCAATTGAGCAAATAATCTCATTGGCTGCTTGACGGCTTGTCATTCTATGTGGTTCGCCTCAGTTCTATTAATTCTCTGCAAATTATACATTTCATAATATTTGCCTCGAAAAATCCTGATAATTTCTTTGTTATGTTTTAATCTTTCTGGAAAGCGTTTTGAATAATATTTAAATTGCACTGTCATCATCAATGTGACTGAAAGCTTTTGTTTATGAACGGAAGTAGTCACCTGTTTACCTCTCTCATACTGGCTGTCAATTTATATTGCAAAGTGGAGATGTAATTCACCTGATCAGTGGACACAAACGCCTTTTCTGGTTAAATCCCTTCAGCCGATAGCAACGTGGATAGGCTGAACATAAAGGGATATCCGCGAAATCCGATTGTCCACCTTCATGATGATGATGATGAACGATAATGAGTCAGCACCAGCACGTCAGCACCTCACCAAATATGCTAGCGCATAGTATGTGTAGGTGCATAGTCAGTGCCCAACCTTTTTCTTCAAGTTCTAAGTGTTTTGACTTTTTTCGTGATTGTGCCTTGTTTACGTGAAGCTGATTCATTGAATTTCTTATAAGCATTAGTCAATGTATTGAATCATTTTGTCTCTCTGTGATGATCGCCGTGTTCTCTTGCTTACTCTAATTGATTTTGATCCAATTTCAGCGATATACTGTTTTTGTTGTTATTATCTTAGCATCGAAAGAAATCTATACTAATTGACCATTGAATGGAGGATTATAAATACCTCTTCAAAGTTGTTTTAGTTGGAAATGCGGGAGTTGGGAAAACTTGCCTCGTTAGGAAGTTTACACAGGTATATATCACATGGCCGAACTGCTTAGGTATCATGTCTTTAAAGGGTATCTTCCCCCCTGGCCAAAGTGCAACAATCGGAGTGGACTTTATGATAAAGACTGTCAAAGTGGATGATGAAAAGATAAAAGTGTGTCATTCTTAACAGTTCATTACTTTGTGTTTTCTTTTTGCAGCTTCAAATATGGGACACTGCTGGTCAGGAACGATTTAGATCGATAACTCAAAGTTATTATCGTAGTGCTCACGCTATAGTTTTAGTAGGTCTTTTATGGAAGTATACTTATTAAGATACTAAAATTAGGTTTATGATGTAGCTTGTCAGCCGTCGTTTGATTGTCTGCCAGAATGGCTTGCAGAGATTGAATCTTATGCAAATCGCCGCGTTCTGAAGATTCTTGTTGGTCAGTCGAATTATAGTATAGAAGAGCTTAATAAAATTTTTTTAAAGGCAATAAAGTAGATAAGGGAGACGAAAGAGAAGTGCCGGAGAGAATTGGTAAAGACTTCTCAGACGTAAGTTCAACACCTACTTATATGTAGTATCTTGATTTTTAGGTTAATAATTTTGATTACTTCCTTGAGACGTCCGCCTTGGATGCTACAAATGTTGATCGACTATTCGAACATGTAGCTAGTCGGTTAGCTCACGATATGAAGGCTTCTGATCAAAGGTATAGTTCATAGAGCTATTGATAAGGCTTAGTAATGTTTTGCAGGTATTCAAACTATAAGTCGGAACCTAGTGGAGGGGCAGGTTCTCAGGCAGTTAATCTGCTATCTAAAGCTCAAGTGCAGTTGAATAACTGTTGTGGGCGAACATGATGTGTGTGTAGTAGAAGTTGAAGAACTCGAACGCTTTCTTGTCAATTCCTAACAGTATTTATCTCTCCAAATCATCGTGCCGGATATGCTTTTCAAAAAGATTCACACAAAACATAATATTTTACTTATTTAAGTTGTACATTTTGTATAGATTTTTATACGAAGGGTATTGGTGTCTTACTTACTAGTCTTAACTTATTTGGGAGGTATGCTTGCATTCTTGACCTTGTTGTTACATAACAAAACCGATTGTGATATGTTCCGTGGCTTATCTTTCACAGATTTGCTCAAATTTCTATAATAGGATGTCTTCCTCATTTACTCGCTTTCTTTCTTTTATTTCTTGTTTTTATGAAGTTTATCACTTTGACATGTTTTTCGTTCTGGTATTATTCCTAGTTTTCCATACTCAGTTACACACTATGCGCGCTCTCCCCCTCTCTCCCTCTCTCTCTCTCTATTTTCTTTCTTTCTTTCTCTTGTCACATAATCAATAGTGATGCCGTTAAATTTGGAGGGTTGGAGAAAATGCGCAATGACCCAAATTCTTACAAAAAAGGGAAATTACTTGGAATTTGGTATGAATTTTAGAAGCGGGCTTAAATACTTTTTAAAACGTGCCTTATTGCTAAAGAACGGGTGTACTTTGTACTCTCCAGGGTTCGGCGGTGACAGCGAAAGGTGATTCGTTCCCTCTCTAACTCGCACTGATAGCAAACCATATCAATGCTTCGTACATCTTTAAGGTCTGTTGTGACTATTCAACAGCTTCAGCTTGCTTCTTCTTTCAGAATGTGCTCGTTAGGAGCTTCTAAGTATGGTCATGCTAGAACAGGCGATTTCACCCAGGTTCTATACTGATCCTTCGTCTGGTTGATAACTTATGTTTCTGTAGGTTGGACCAACTCTACACAACCCTTTCAGGGAAGACCCTATGCTAGAGCGCCTTCTTCGGCGATGGTTACCTCAGAAAGATTATGATAGAGTTCTGTGTCATCGTGAAATTATCATTTGACTCATTCCTCTAGGTTGCTGTGGATTTGAATCGGTTCGGAGAAAGGATAGTTGATGAGATTGATGCTCTTGGACGAGCTGCTGAGCTCAATGAGCCTCGCCTGTCTCAACAAGATTCCTGGGGACGAAGAGTATTTTGATAACATTAGAGTTTGTAAGATGACTGGATTCACAGGTTGATCGTCTCGAGGTTTGTCCGGAATGGAAGAAACTGAAAGAAATTTGTGCCGAAGAAGGTCTAGTCGGTACGTTGTTGGTTTTTATTCTTTTTGAAACATCTCATCTTCAGCTCTTGGTTATGATTCTAAAACAGATCCTCTAGTTCGACGTCTTCATCAGGTTTTTTCATTCCTTGAATTATACTCAGATTCCTTTCAGATAGCTAAATTGTATCTGTTCTCCCCATCTGCTGGTCTAACAACTTGTCCCATGGCCATGACTGACGGAGCTGCCAAAACGCTCAAAGTATGTTCAGACAGTTATATTATGATTCGTTCCTTACTTTTAGGAGTTGAAAGCTGACAAGGGAAATGACCTTGCTGCTCAAGCAGTGGAAAGCTTACTTTCTCGAGATGGAAAGAAAGCATGGACTAGTGGTCAATGGATGACAGAAAAAAAAGGAGGCAGTGATGTTGGCGGAGGATGTGACACTTACGCAGTTGAAGAAAATGGCAAGGTAAGTCTAGAATCAGACCACCTCGAATTGATCTCAGTCTTTTAGTACCGTCTGTATGGCTACAAGTGGTTCAGTTCTGCTGTTGATGCTGACGTTGCTTTGACTCTCGCGCGAGAAGTAGACAAGGACGGAAATATTGCCAAAGTTGTCTTCATTCCTACATCCTTATCAAACCATGATTTATTTATAGGGAACTGGAGGCTTAACTTTGTTCCTTCTAAGAATTCGTAACGATGATGGTTCTTTGAACGGTATCCAAATGGTCCGCTTGAAAGACAAGTTGGGAACAAGACAGGTATAGCCATTTGTCTTATCCAAGTTTTATTCAACATAAACAGTTGCCAACTGCTGAACTTCTTTTGGATGGTTGTGAAGCTGAAAAAGTCAGTGTACAAGGCCGTGGAGTGATTGGAATTTCGAACATGCTCAATATTACTCGAATCCACAACGCCGTAGCTTCAATTTCTGGAATGAGAAGGTTGTCTATCCTGCTTTGTCTAGTTTTACCGCTTGTTCAGAATTGTGTCATTGGCTCGGGACTATTCCACTCGCAGGAAGGTCTTCGGGCAATTCCAATATCAATGGCCTCTTCACACCTCGACTCTCTGTCAATTAGAAATTCAGACTAGAGGATGCTTCATCCTTCTCTTCGAAGCTGCTCGCCTTCTCGGATTAACTGTTAGTTCATTCCACTAGTATTTGGCTATACTTCTAACACTTTTGGCATTTTAGGAAAGTGGAAAGGCCGATCAAGTTCAATCTCTCATGCTTAGACTTATAACCCCAGTTCTCAAACTTTACGCCGGAAAGATGGTATCTATTCTTTAGTAGTCTACGAGCTTTTCATGTATACAGTGTGTTCCCCTCATTTCTGAAGGAATCGAGTGTTTTGGAGGACAGGGTTATATGGAGGATACGGGCTTGCCTTCAATACTTCGTGATGCTCAAGTAAGATTCCGGTATAAACTGAATGATAGATAGTATCCTTAGGTAACTCCCATATGGGAAGGTACAACGAATGTTCTATCTCTCGATGTTCTTCGTGTTTGTTTTGGCAAAGACAACATCAGCATTGCCTTTAAGAGATACATAACTGATTTGTTGGAGAAATCAAATATTTCTGGTACGTTCATTTTCGTCTTCAGATGACAACAGTTGATATTCAGGGAATGAAAAGTTGAATGAATGCAAGAAGATCATCCTCGACTCTTTGGAGAAAGTCGATAAGATTCTTTCTAGAGCAGGAGATCCAAAGCTTCGTCAGGAAGAGAGAATCGACGCAGTTGCCAGAGACATCTCTTTCGCTGTTGCTCGTGTTTGGCAAGGTAAGAGTCTTATCATATTTGTTTAAAAAGTAATCATGTTCAGCTTCACTTCTACTGAACTTCGCTGATGATTCAACTGCCACGCCCGCTGATATCGAAGTAGCCTACAGGTGAGCTTTCTCTCGGAGTTCATTAATATCATGCAACTAAGGTACTGTACGGAACAAGACTTGGTGAAGTTCGATGAGAAATGGATGGAGCAGAACAAGTTGAAGAAAGACTTTGACATCGTTTTCGAAAACTATGCCGGCTACAGCAAATTGTAAGAACACATGGATTAACATATTGTTTATTTTGTATATATTCAGTACTGTACAATGAATCAATTCATTTCCTCTCTATTCGTACCACACTTAACAAACTCTTCAATGCCTATCCTACTGTTTGAAGAAATCTCGGTTTACTCTTTGAGTGAATTCAATCAGATTCGGGAATTTCTTCAGAAGATTGAAAACATCCATGGCGGGTAATCGAACCGTCAAAATCGTGAATAGATGTCCGAACATCAAAGCATCAGCTTCAGTAGGGGAATCTCCGAACAAAAAAGGATTTGTCCCAAGTTGGAAAGATAGTGAACGGAACGCCTTTTCGCTCTGCTCAACAACTTCTTCCATCGTCTGAAAATCGATTACATAAGAAGTCTAACACAACTAACTTTATCACGCCACTCGGCGTCCTGAAGTTTGGTGAGCATATCTCTTCTTCTGAACGTTGGAAGTACATAGCTTAAAGGCCAGTAATAGACTGAGCCATATCGAGCTTTAGTCACACTTCGATAGGTCTCATCGTGCTTCCAAACAAGGTAAATCTGGAATGAGAGTTGCATAAGGAACTAGCGAAAAAAGGAATATTACTTCAACATTACGAAGGAGATGATCGATAACTGCCATTTGTGCTCTCATTTCCGCTATTTGTGTTTCTTGCAAATCAGAAGAGAGTGAAACACCCTGAATGATACCGTATGAATCAAGTCACAAAAAGTATTCACTTTACGGGATACAAACTCTACGATGTTACTGAATCCAGAAACTAGAAGCTTCTGTGTTTTCAAGAAGGGGATGTGACCTACAAAGAACAGAAGATGAAGCGTGCACGACTAGAAGCTCAAATGAACCTGTGGATGAAATGAACTCTGCATTCGGTCGTTGCTTCACTGAATATGGTAATTGAGCCATACGAAGGAAAGTCTGAGCTGCAAGACAATCCGCAAACTCATATAGTAGGGCTTGATCGTCTGTAAATCATCTTACAACCTGGTCAACGATAGAATGTGAGTACGTAAGTATGGTGTGAAGAGAGATACATCTTCCCATTTCGTCTCGGCAGTGAGGGATAGTTCGTTCACCAAATCTGTGACTAATCCTGTAGTCGCCATCTTGAAGAAGCTCGTGATTAAGAAATCAAATTAATAGAAGATGGATGGATAAGGTGGGACAGAACCCTTTCATAACAATTCGCTTCAGAAGAGAAAAATCTTCAATAACGATAACCATAACAATCAACAACAAAATATATAACAAGGAATAATTACTTATTTCGTAACTGATGCAGATGGGCCAACTTCTCCATAGTTTCGGCCTGAACCTTCTTCTTCTCCCTAGATGCTGGTTCCCAACGACGACGACGTTGGTATTTGCGACCACTGACCTGCTTCTTAATAGTGATGACTCCTGGAGAGGGAACAATACGCAAAGTTCAAAGTGTATGAGCAAACCTTTCTTCATCATTTCATGCTGAAGTTGTGACAAAGCTTCTTCATAAGCGGGCTTCAACGATGCCAAGTCGTCGTCCGTCACCTTTCTATAGTTCATACCATCGTACAGTTTCATTTTCTTCAACATATGCAAGAACCGACGCTCCTGAAAGAGAGACAAGTTTACGGGATACTTTCATTCAACGTACGGTGTCTGTGAATCCTATGCTGATAACACTTCCACTAGATCCAGCTCTTCCTGTTCGACCAGCTCTTTACAAAGTCATACATCAAGATTGTATAGAGAATGATAAACCTGTGAACGAATAGCCTATCCTCCAATGGTAGATCATAGTTTATAACACAATCAATGCTACTGATATCAATACCTCTAGCAAGAACATCTGTGCAGATCAGCACGCGTGACTGAAACAAACGAAATGGACACGAATACAAACGCTGAAATACCTTTCCTATTTCGAAATCTTCAATGATTTTAGTTAATCTGTTTGCGAATACGTTGGACGTTAAGTTTCCGGTGTGGAATGTACCTTTACTCAGATGATTAAGGAATCGGGATAACCGAGAAGCTGATTCTCTTAAAGCAGAAACAGTTTAGAAGACGAAGAAGGACAAACATACTTTTCTTTTGTGAAGATGATGACTTTCTTGAACTTCGCCTGAATGATCTCGTTATAAACGACAAGAGGGAATAGATGAGGTTCTGTTGAAAGGAAGGTGTGTTTAATGGAACTTGGAAGAGCAAGAACGCCTCCAGTGATATGATTAGCATTTGGCAGTTTAACTTCAACGCTACTAGAACTTGTAGCTTTGAAAAGAGAAGGTCTATGTAAGTTCCATAGGAACAATTCTTCGACGTCTCTTGAGATTGTTGCGGACAGAAGGATTTTCTGTGCGGCACATCTTGATGCTATCCAATCGGAGACGTTGCAAGCATTCTTTGTACCTGTAAGAAAGATCCTATAACGATGACAAAGATAGCTACACCTCCATATCGTTTCTCGACCAAGTCAAGCCATTCTAGGCGAACTTTCATACCCATTTTATCAGCTTCATCCACGACTAAGTACCTGAAAGTAAGACATGACAGATGTAACGGTGAAGCAGTAACCTCAGAGCGGAGAGATCAAAAGGATTGTGTTCTTCAGTCAAGAAATCTACCAATCTATTTGGTGTTGTTATCAAGATATCACATTTGAGTTTGTTCTACAAATGGAAAACTTCAAAGGAAATGAGGAACAACATACGTTTTCACTGAGAGATTTTCGTAAATCTTTTGTTTTATCTGTTCCGGTCAGTGTGATTATCTTGGCATCGTACACGTTGAACTTCTGGTATTCCTAAAATGGTATAATCATGCTCAGCTACTTGTCCCCGTACTCACACATTCTATCTGTTTAACAAGAGCTTGAACTGGGACCACAATAAGAGTAGAAATCACTCCTGCTGGATGTTTTCCAATCGCTACTAGAGTTGGAAGAACATAACAAAGAGTTTTACCAGAACCTGAACACTTCTTAGGGTCTGTTATAAGGAAGAAGATTACAAACCAGTGGGAGCAGCAATAGTAACATCTCGCCGTCTCATTAAGGAAGGTTCACGTATCTCTTTCAGTAGAATGGGTAGAACAGATTTCTTGAACGAAATATAGAAACATAACAAGAACAACTGATCAAACCTGGACTGGGAATAGCTTTTGAAAATGTTCTTTCAACTTCTTAACGAATCGTTTGGGTATTTCATCAACCTCATCGATTCCACTCAAGTTCTCCTCTCTTAACTCAGCTGGAAATACGTTGGCATTCTCGACCCACGAACTTGTAACTCTTCAAATATATTCAAATGTTTAAGTCTATGGGATAGATGGACTTACGCTATCTTGTCAGTGTTCACATATTCAGGTTCTCCAATGATGGTGAACTCCTTCTCCTCCTCTTCTGGTTGATCGGGCTCAGCTTCATTGTCTGTGTAATCCCAATCAGATATCCTTAAACGAGCTCTTTGATTTAAAAATTTCAAGTTTCAATTTCAAACCTCTCTTCATCAGGAATCATTTCTATTCTTCTCTGTTAACAACGTTGAAGCTCTTGAAGAAACATTAAAATTGAAAACGCGCCAGGACCAATATGAATAAAGCTGCTAACATAGACCTTTAATTGGAAGGTTGCATATGTAAATTTACTGTGATTGATAAAGATTTCAATCCTTTCGTTCACTTGGGTTGTGTTCTTCCAGTAATAGTCAATCTGCAATATGATTTGCTTCATATAACGCAAATGCAACATTGAACACTCAATAAATTTCCTAGAGTATGCTGTTCCAAAGACTGCTTGCTATTTCGACCTCCTCAGTAAGTATTCCCCACCGCACTACAATACAAAATCTTTATTTAGGCATATCGACACATGCATCTAGTGCTGTCGAATACATGCTCTTGATGGAATCGTTAAAGAATGTTTCGATAATTCTCAAATAACATAACAAAAAAGAAAGTATACATACACAGTTTCGATACGAGACCCCGTACTACAGCTGATGCCTCTGCGCTTTCTTGACGACTTTTTCAAAAAGCTGCTGCCGAAGAATCTAAGGTAACACATACTTGTATTTAATAATTGATTGTTCTTCGTGTTTATTTCTTATTGCTAGTCAAAGACAACGCGAGTTTTTCAATTTTCACTTTTAGAGATGAAGTAGTAATCGTCATCAAGACGTTAGATACTCTACAGTGTCTAGTTGTTGACGATCGCTATGAAGGCTTCTGAATCTTCTTTAATCTGCGCATCCACTACGAGCACTCGTTGAGTTTGGCTGGGGGTGGGTTAATCGGGAGATTGAAATTCTCAAGAATCTTGTGGTAAACTTTTTGGTCTCATCGTTGGATCAAACGTCTTCTATGCTTGATAGTTCTCGAACAATCCTTCAGCAGTGAGTTTTTATATTCTTTTATTCTTTTGTTCAAATTTTGTTAACGATAAGCAATTTAGTTGCCACGGAAGTGCGTACCAGGATGTCTTTTCTTTGAATCAGATCTACGCTTTTGTAGAATATGCATAGATCTTCCACAATACTCTCATTGATATCCACGATAATGAGCAATTCAAGACCGCCGAGTACAAGAAAGAAATATGTATGATGAGATAGATTAATGGTATCTATTCTCCCCATCTGCTGGTCTAACAACTTGTCCCATGGTCATGACTGACAGAGCTGTCAAAACGCTCAAAGTATGTTCAGACAGTCAATTTCAGTGGCTTCTGCTGTTATCTTGGTTGCTTCATCTCTGTCAAACAACAAATTTTATGTCACTCACGTCTTACACTGTTATATCTTTGATTCGTGTTGTTAAAATACTTTTTCCGAAAGAATATTTCTTTTACTGTTTTCGTTTTTTTGTTTCTTTCCAGCAATAGTGAATCTTCTTCTTGATTCTACTTCATACGATGTAGTTGATTAAATGCATTCAATGTCTTCTTAGACATAGGACAACCAGAAAATTGCTTGGATAGTCTTCTTCCAGAGTCAGCTCTGACACCTTTTTCCGTTTCTTTCTATTTTCTCTTAACCTGATGAACAACATTTCATTCTTGTCTCACTGCTCAGATCGCAATAAACATCAGCAAGAGAAATTCCAAATGAGGGAACAATCATTTGACGATAACCATACATATTCCTGCAACTTCTTTCCCCGAAGATAGACCATCAAAACAGTTCTCCAAGTGAGTTACGGTTGACCCAATGATAATTGATCTCCTTCATCTGCGCTCTAATCATAACTGATATACGTGATCTCCCGTAGGTTACTGTAATTGCACACAGCTTTTCGGTCACGCCCACTTGTTTTCGAAATTAATTTGATTATGCTAATTTTCATTTTATTTTTATTTGTTTTGTTTATTTGTTAATTTTAGTTTTGTTTATAGGCACTACGACGACGAATTTGATTTTTCCTTAAAATGATATCAGTTGATGTGACGACGGTTCAGGATTCCTTGGCAGGTGGGAAGTCCATGGTTGTGCCAAGTGAAAAAGACGTTTGGTAGAAGTCTCGACAAGGTAACCGCGGCTCTCATTTTGTCATTCCAGATATTTCCCGCTGTCTCAGAGTAATACCTAGTGACTATCATGAAGTCATAGAGAGAAAGGAAGAGAGGAAGTAGAAAATTGGAGATGCTTCTAGTCTTACTGGCAGTACATTGTCTCGAACGACGTTTTGAAATAAATTCGGAGGATGTATGTTGAAGGTATGTCTTTCCATTCTCTGTCCTTCTTCACTCATAGTACTTCCAGCAACTCATTTACCAATTCTGCTGTTGTTAGGAATAATCAGGAAGCAAAAGCGTGTTGCCATATGGCCCGTGATAGATCTTGGGTGAGTCGGATAGTCCGTTACTTTCTTAATGCTAAGTTTTGTTTTGTTTAGTTCATGCATAGGTTATTCTCACGACGACAATTCTGGGCTCCTCGGCAGGTGGGACGTCCA